CTGTCTCTCTCTCTCTCTCTCTCTCTCTCTCTCTCTCTCTCTCTCTCTCTCTCTCTCTCTCTCTCTCTCTCTCTCTCTCTTCCACCAACTCAAAGGCACGCATGCAATCGGTTAAAGTTAAACGCTTTACTTTACTATCGCAAGCAGGTGACCCAAGTTCGATTCCAGAATGGGGAGACATTTTATCTGGTATTGCGGTTTCTCTGCAAGAATTGTGTATCCTTTTCAGCCCTAAAATGATCTTAATGGTATTGTTGGGGGCGTAAAACATATATATTAACAAAAACTCAAGCAATATACTTGCAAGCGAATAAGCAATTTATCTCTTCCCCTTTTCCTATGCCTACACGCACAGAGGCAATTTTTATCTTTTATCTCCCCCCCCCCCACACACATCTCCCCCTAAATCCTCCTATCCCAACCACTCCATCCTCATCTCCACCCACATAGACACACATTTGTGCACTTCCAATTCACCTTATTTAATGCTGTTAAGCCGTGAAATTGAGCCAACATTATTAACAGAAGAGGGATTTACACATCTCCTGCATAAATCGGTCTGTCTCTTCAATACTTATTGATGGTGTTCACTTATTCCGCAAGTCAGGTCGAAAGGATCGAATGGCGTCGTTAAAACACGCTGGCCAGTGTACTATGGTGTCTTTTTTGTTGTTGTTGTTGCTTTGCTTTGTTTTGTTTTGTTGTTTTGTTTTGTTTTATCGTCTTCCTCTTCGCTTTTCCAGTAATTGAACGTTTCTTTTCTGACCTTTCCTCAATGAACCACCCTGTCTCGTGCCATTTTGCTCACATTCAGAAAATTCATACATCAATTTGCCGCGCCACAACCTTTTGGCCGTCTGTAGCAACAAATTCAATCCGACTGAGATTCAGGAAAACAACAATATTTTTTAACATTTTGGGTTGTGCAAAAATGGCATCAATCTAAGGCCGCGCCTAGCGTACAAATCGCTGCAACTTTGCAAATCTTGCAAAATCGGGTAAATATTGCAAGCATTTATAAAATTCCAAAGAGGCCTTTAAAAAAATTGTATTTGGGGAGAATTCAAGCCGCTGCGCGTGCTTATCTCTGTCCTATCGTAGATTAAGGTTATATTCAGAGGTCCCAGCTCTTAAATAACCTGGCAGTGTTGAAAGGGGCGTTTAACCCATACAAATCCGAGTCCGTCCTCGAAGTTGAGGGGTTTTTTTTCCCTCTGAGCCTTGTATCCTAACGAGCTCCGCCTTCAGAACGACAGAATCTGCACCGAAAGAGACGTTGGAACCTTTAAATCCGACCACAAATCTCTTTTTTCTTAAAGACAGAATTTGCAGCGAACAAGACGTTGAAACCTTCGAAACTGACCACAACTCCTTCGAAACGACCGTATCTGCACCGAACAAAACGTTAGACGTCACTACAAATAATCACTCAATTTGATTAAAGATACAATCATATTAATCATAACGACGTCATAACTAACATAATAGGCCTTACAGAACCAACGTGTGCGATGTAGTGTTAATAATAATAATAATAGATAGCATTTGTATAGCGCATATCCCCGCTCAACAGCAGGCTCTATGCGCTTTACACTATATTATTACCCCAGCAGACCATAGACCACTCCGAAACATTCTCAGCTTCCCG